GAAGAATAGGCATCAAATCTTTAAACATTTTGTAGAATTCACTAGTGAAGCCACCTGGTTTTAGACTTTGATATTTTGGGAGGTTTTAGATGGTTGTTTTAATTTTCTTATTTTGTTCGGTCTGTTTAGATTTTTCATGATTCAGTCTAGAAAGGGTATATATTTCTAGGAATTTAACCATTTCTTCAAGGTTATTACATTTGGTGGCTTATAGTCTTTCATAGTGTTCTAGTATGATTCTTTGTATTTCTGTGGTGCCTGAGATAATGACTCCTCTTTCATCTCTCATTTTGTTTATTTGAGTCTTTTCTCTTTTTTTCTTAAAAGTGAGTCTAGCCAAGGGTTTGTCAATTTTTTAATCTTTTTAAAGAATCAGCTCTTTGTTTCATTAATTTTTTTTGTATAGTGTTTTTGTTCTCCATTTCATTCAATTCTGCTCTAATTTTTATTATTTCCTTTCTCTTGCTGACTTTGGGTTTCTTTTGTTCTTTTTCTAGTTCTTTAAGATGTAATGTTAGGTTGTTTACTTGGGATTTCTCTTGTTTCTTGAAATAGGCCTGTAATGATATAAAATTCTTTCTTATTACTGTTTTTGCTGCATTCCTGATGTTTTTTATTTCATATTTTTATTCTCTTTTGTTTCTAGATATCATTTGATCTCACCTTTTACTTCTTCGTTTACCCATTTATTTTTTAGTAATATGCCATTTAGTCTTCACATATTTGTAAGTTTCTTCTTTTTTACAGTTTATTTAGAATTTCTTAGCATTGTGGTCAGAGAATATGCTTGGTATGATTTCAGTCTTCTTGAATTTGTTGAGGCTAGTTTTGTGTCCCAACTTATGGTCTATCCTTAGTGCCCTATTGAGTGGAGAAGAATGTATAGTATGATGTTCTGGGATGAAAGGCTCTGTAAATGTAATTATGGCAATTTGGTCTAATGTATCATTTAAGGCATATAGTTCTTTATTGATTTTTCTGTTTGGATAACCTGCCTATAGTTGTCAATGAGGTATTTAGTTCCCCAACTATGTTTTTGTCAGTTTCTCCCTTTAGTTCTGTAAACAGGTTGCTGTATATATTTTGGTGATTCTTGATTGGGTGCATATATATCGAGAAATGTTATGTCTTCTTGATGTAGTGTTTGCTTTATCATTAAAAAGTATCCATCTTTGTCTCTTATTATCTTGAGATCTCTTTTGACAGGTGTCAGTAGGCTATACCTGCTTTTCTGTGGATGCTATTTGCTTGGAGAGTCATTTCCCACCCTTTCACTTTAAGTCTCTATTTGTCTTTGCAGCTAAGATGTGCCTCCTGAAGGCAACATATGGTTGTTGATGTTTTATCCAATTTGCTACTCTGTGCCTTTTTATTAGTGAGTTCAGTCCATTTACATTTAGTGTAATTATTGACTTATGAGGATTTTTTCTAAAGCCATTTTAGGTTTTTTAAAATATGTTTTTTATTGATTTTTAGAGAGAGAGAAAGGGAGAGGGATAGAGAGATAGGAACATTAATGAGAGAGGAGCATCATCGATAGGCTGAGCCTGCAACCTGAGCATGTGCTGTGATCAGGAATTGAATGTGACCTCCTGGTTCCTGGGCGGCCCCTAAACCACTGAGCCATGATGGCCATGCTATCTTTTGGTTTTTGGTAGCTCTGTGCCTCGGTTTGTGTGTGTGTGTGTTTCTGTATGTTGCCTTTTTGTTTGGTGGCATTCCGTACTTCTTTCTTCTGTTTCCTCTTTTTTAAGCTATGTATCTCAGTTTGTTTTTTTGTGTGTGGTTACATTAGGTTTATAAAAAAAAGTTTCAAATATACAGTAGGTTTTATTTCTTTTGAAGGCATCTGATCTCCTTCTTCTTTTGCACATTCAGGTTTGACCCCTCCCCTTTTATGTTTCTGTTTCACAAATTATCCCTCTTTATTCTGTAAGATTTTTAGTCATCTTACTCATAGTGTTGTGACCTTTTGTTCTTTGTTTCTGGTAGAATTACCCCCTTGAGCATTTTTTTTTTCAGTGGAGGTCTTCTGGTGATAAATTCCCTCAGCTTCTGTATTTTTGGAAATGCCTTTTTTCCCCCTTCATATCTAAAGGATAACTTTACTGGATATATTATTCTTGGCTGATAGTTTCCCTTTTCAGCATTTTTAATATTTGTTTCCAATGTCTTCTAGCTTGTAGAGTTTCTGCTGACAAGTCTGATGATAACCTAATGGGCTTGCCTTTATCGGTTAATTTCTTGTTTTCTCTGGTTTCATTAACAATTTTTTCTTTGTCATTAGTTTTTGACAGTTTTAATACAATATGCCTTGGAGGTCTTTTTGGATTGGGGTAATTAGGTGTTTTGTTTGCTTCTTGGATTTGATGATCTAGTTTTCCATAGGTTTAGGAATTTCTCTTTTTGATAAAATATATTTTTATTGACTTCAGAGAGAAAGGGAGAGAGAGAGAGAGATAGAAACATCAGCAAGAGTCATTGATCAGCAGCCTCCTGCATGCCCCCCACTGGCGATCGAGCCCACAACCCTGGCATATGCCCTGACTGGAATCAAACCTCAATCTCCTGCATCACAGGTCGATGCTCAACAGCTCAGCCATGCTAGCCAGGCAGTTTGGGAATTTCTTATTAACTCTTTGTTTGAATTGGCTCTCCATTCCCTTCTCCCTTTCTTCTTCTTCTGGTATGCTTATTCTTATATTGCTCTTTCTGATGGCATCAGATAGTTCTCCTAGAGTTCTTTCACTTTTTTTTGTGCTCAAGGCTCTCTCTTCTCTTGGCATCATTTCTAGATTTCTATCTTTGATATTACTTATCCTTTCCTTTATTTGGTTCACTGTATCTTCTGTGCTTGCTAGTTCATCTTTTTTATTGAGTTCTTCATCTCCAGAATTTGTTTCGTTTTTTGCTTTAAAGTTTCAGTCTCTTTGATAAAGTACCCATTTTGTTTGTTGATTTGTTTTCTGAGCTCATTAAACTGCCTATGTGTATTTTCTTGCATCTTGTTGAGTTTTTTCAGAAATGCAATCTTGAGTTCTTTGTACTTTATATCACATATTTCCATGTCTTTCAGTTTGCTTTCTGGAAATTGTTCATTTTTCTTTCCAAACTGTCTTGCTGCTTTGCTTATTCATAGTATTTGATGTATTCTTTCTCTGCCTAGGCATCTATGCTTAAGTGGCACTTCTCTAGTAAATTGATATGAAGTCTTTATATTATTTTCCAGTAGGTGGCACTAATTCACGTTTTTTAGGTCTCTTGCACTTCTCTGGCTTTTCATACCTCCATGGGGTGGTGGAGAATGGGAGATGGGTACCTTCCCTGTGATCAGGTTGTCCCAGTCCCAGGGGACCAGCCCAGCAGGGGAATGCAATGGGCAGTGGTGTTCCAAACCCATGAAATCCCTGTGCTGTTTTTTGCAGTTAGACACTGCTGTCAGGATAACTGCAATGTGTATATGTGGGGGTGTTGTTCTGGGATAACCCACCCACCTTTTAAGGTGCTTTGCCCTTCTGGTAATGGCAACCTTAGACTCTTGCGGGGTCTCCCTTGCTCCCCTGATTCCAGGACCAGTCACAGAGTCCACCGTTTGCTCAGGGAAAAGGTGATTCTGCAGTACTAGTTCTTGAGTTTGCAGATAATGTGCTCTACAACCCAACCCCAAGGTCAAAGAGAGGCAAGCTCTAGGAGGTTGCATGGTGGCCATGCTCTGTGGTTTTGTTTCTCTGCCTGGAATGGCAACAGCCAGACAACCACAGCTGCATCTGTATGCTGTGTCCCTGCTTAGGTTTCTGGACTCAGCCACAGCTCATACTGCCCACTTCTGCAGGAATGTCCACCGAATTTCTTTGTTCCTCTCAGCTGAAGGTAGTGCCAGCCACAGCCCTTTCCAGGCTGAGCCCCACCATGAGCTCCCAGCTGTAACGCTGCATCTGTGGTTCAGCTCAGCATTTTTTTCTCTCTGATTTGCTCCCACTTCCCCACCTTTAAATGTTTTAGTGCATCATCTCTCAGGTGTATTTGTGTATTGAACAGCAAATCCTTTGTTAAATTATAGCTGTTGAAACTTAAAGGGGACAGACCAAAGTCATCACTCATGCTGCCATTTTTCAACATTTATTTTCTCTTGCTATTTTAATGTAAGAGTATAGTATATAATACATAAAGCATACAAAATATGTGATAATCAGCTGTTTATATTGTCGCTATGGTTTCCAATCAACAGTAGGCTGTTAGTAGTTGTTTTTGGGGATTCAAAAGTTAAACAGATTTTCAACTGTGTGAGAGATTGGTGCATTGTTCAAGGGTAAACTGTAAAGATTTATACCCTGGAATATCTAGAGAATAATCTCCAAATTTCTGAGCATAGCATTCTAAATCCTTCACAGTCAGGTTCCCAACTACTACTATTTCATTTTCCTTTACTCCATATAGCTCACTCCCTGCCATGCTGAAATTCTTATCATTATCTAAATGAACAAAGCCTCTCAAAATGCCCAACCCCCTGCATATTCTGCTTAAAGTGAAATATGCTCATTCCATTGCACCTGGAAAATATTTACTAATAACTCAAGAGTCAGTTCAGTTGTCATTAGTGAAATCTTTTTAAACTGCCTCAGACAGCTAGCTGCCGTGTGTTTTGTAGTTTTCATTTATAGCTATCATCATATGGTAATTGGCAATTTAGCTGTTAATGTGTCTTTATTTTTTCTCCAAAATGCCTGGTAAATAGTACCTGGTTTAATATATGAGTGGATGAATAAGTGAATGTTTAAATTAACACATAACCAGAAAGTCATTCTCTTACAGTATAGTAGAAAATAATGTGAGGTACAATTCAATCATCCTTATCCTCTGGTTTTGACTCTCACCTGTATGGCACGTTTACACACATAGACTTTTGTGCATTTATAACATTTCGTACTCTGTCATGCAAGACATTTTTGTGACGCTTATTTAAAGTATATTTTCTTTGTATTTATGTCTTGTTTCCAAAGGCAGTTCCTTAATGCTGGAAAGCATGTCCTTGTGGAATACCCTATGACACTGTCTTGGGCAGCAGCCCAGGACCTGTGGGAACTGGCCGAGCAGAAAGGTGATGTATGTTCTGTCTGTCTAGAACACAGTCCCTCTTACTAAGAGTTACTGTCACTAAGAATTCTGTGGTGCCCTTACTCTTTTAAAGTTTAACCCCATATCAGGTATATTACTGGTACAAAGGGCTCCCAAAACTTTACCTCCCTCAACACTGTAGGCACATTTAATGGTATATGTGGAGGGCCAACAGGGAGGAGGGATGGGTGGGAATTTGCAAACTTTTTTCCAAGACTTGTCAGCTTCTTTAACTAAAATATGAATTAGTTTCCACCTGTGGTATATCATGATATTATTTTAGTTTTATTCATGTGGTATTTATATTGCTAATGAAAAAATGCCCAGATCAGAATAATTAATTGTTTTATATCCATGCTTTTTGTTGTTTCTTAAGAGGAACACCATTTATAATATTTATTATATGCCATAAACTTGAGAACTCTGATAAGGACTTCATATATTATTTTGCTTAATTCTCCTAGAAATACTCAGATAAGTATTTTCCCTAGCTTATGTATAGGAATTCAAGGCTCAGAGATGTTAAATAATTTGTGCCAGGACACAAAGCTAGTAACATGACTACTAAATGGGAGATGGAGATTTGAATTCAATTCTTATGGACCCTGAAGTTCACATTTGTTCTTCTGAATCATCTTTCTCTCCAGAGATTTTTATGTTTTTATAGTAACTGGACAAGTACCTTTATGGAGACAACCAGAGTTAACTAGAATGTTTAAGGATGAAAGGAGCTAGTTAAATTAAGTTTAAATCACAGACTCTCCTTCTTTCAACATTTACTATTAAAAATATGTGAAAAAAGTGTGGTGAACAGTTACAATGAAAATCACCAAAGAAAATACCTTGTTTTCATCACCAGTGTAGACTGATCATACTTTATTGAAACTCTTTCCAAAAAAATTTTTTTTATTGATTTTAGAGAGGAAAGGGGAGGAAAAGAGAGAGAAACATTGATGAGAGAGAAACATTGATTGGCTGCCTCCTGCACCCCCCCCCCCCCACTGGGGTTTAAGCCCAAAACCCGGGCATGTGCCCTGACCAGAAATGGAACCTGTGATTTCTCTGTGCATGGGACTTTTTCAACCAACCAAGCCACACCAGCCAGAGCTGTTGAAACTCTTGATTTCTTTCTTTAGCTGTGGGCTGTGCTTCTAGAGGACAGAGCCCATCTTTTCCCTCTGTAGTCTCAGCAAGTAAACTTAAACACTGCCTAGAACTTACTAGGCATTCAGTATATGTTTGTTGAGTGAACAAATGGGTGAATGACTATTGAAGTGATTGGGAAGTTTTGAGTTCATCACCTTTGTGTAGTGTTTCTCATGGCACAGATGTCCATGGATGAAGTATAAGATTCCAAAACATGTCTCACAGACCTCTTGACAATTTCAAAAGAATAAAATTGTCCCTTTGCAATGAAGAGCTCTGCTGTTACCATCCTAACCAAATTTCTGCTAATATGGATCATTCTGGCATTACAAGCCATCTGGTGTGATGTACACAGCATCAACCATATACTTAATATTTAAATAAAACTTTCAGTTCACAGGAAACAGTGATAAAGGTGATGCCAAATAAGAAAATGAAAGACACTAGAATGTGGAATACTCTACAAGATAACAGGCTAATTTTTTTTCAGGAAGATAATGTCCTGCATGTAGTAAGTTTCTTCCAAAGAGTACAAGATGGAAAGGGGGTGGGGGGTGGAGAAGGAATAACTTTACATGAGAGAAGACAGACAGAAACTACCTAAGCTAAGTGTTCATGATATAGTGATATGTCATGTTAACAGCATGTACCCTTGATGTGATTTTATGAGAATGGCTCATTACCCTTTTTCCAAAACATGTAATTCCAGTCTAATTATGAGGAAAACATCAGAAAAATCCCAGTTGAGGGTCATTCTATAAAATACCTGACCAGTACTCTTCAGAAATGTCAAGGCCATTATAAACAAGGAAAGCTAGATAAACATTACAACTCGAGAGGAAACTAAGTTAGGAAACATGAGTAAATGTAGTGTGGTATCCTGAAACAGAAAAAGCACGTTTGGTAAAAACTAAGGAAATTTAAATAAAATATAGACATTAGTTAATTTTTTTAATGAGGAAGAGAGACACAAAATATTAAAGATCAGTGTTATATTAGAACCTTGATATTAGCTCCTTCAGCAAACAGAATCTGGGTAGATATGTACAGATCACAAATGGCTTTAAAAAAGAAAACAAAAGTTCCTAAAAATGAAAATAACCTTTCATCTCAAAGCTAGTATTCATAAGTCCTACTAGAATATTTATTAAGCAGATTTTACATGATAGTGAACTTCATGTATGAGCTGTTGTGCACGATGATAGCGATAACAATAAGATGACCCTTGTCCTTGAGGACAGCTAGCAGTATTAACTTACCTGCTGAAAGTAAATTGTAAAAGTAACTATAGCATTTATGTTGTAGTCTAGCAATGGGGCATACCTAAATGTATCATTTTAGATGGCAAAAGTTCCAGAAAATTTGGGAGTGGTTTCAGCAAGGTGATAGAACAAGAAGCCTCAGGACCTCATTCACACATGGAAACACTGACTTAAGAATACATAGACCAAAATGCCTTGGTAAAAACTGTAAAAATCAGTTCAGTGGTTGAAGTACCCCAAGCAAGCACAAAGCCAAGAAGAACTACATTGAAGCATGTAAGAAAGTTCATTGCATTTGCTTGTTATAGCCCTTCTCATCCCAGGCACAACAGTTTGATTAGTAGAAAACTCCAAACTTTTTACTTTTCCCCTGGGAAGAAAGAGAAGAGTGGGACGTGTATATAATGTCCTGGATTTTCAGGGTACTGCTTGAGGGTTTCTGTCTCTCCTGACTCAGAGTGCTGCAGGAAATGGTAGTATACATTGGCAGGGTGTTTTTGTTGTTGTTGAATTTATTGGGGTGACACTGGTTAGTAAAATTGTTTCAGATGCATAGTTCTTGCCCTAGGAGATATATCCAAAATAATATTGCTATGAGAAATGTCTGAGATTTACTGTCAATGTTTTCTCCTAGCATTTTTATGGTTTCAAGTCTAACATTTAAGTCTTTCATCCATTTTGAGTTTATTCTTGTGTATGGTGTAAGAAGTTGGTCTAGTTTAATTTTTTTGTACATACCTGTCCAATTTTCTCATCAACATTTATACTTGAATGCTAGGCTGGGGGCTGTTCAGAAGGAGAGCATCAGAGAGACTGCATTACTACAGATAGACATCAGGGGGAGCAAGAGATTACAGGCTCTTGAAAACAGGGGTAAACCTGTTTAATTTAGAAATTACATATATAAGCCCAGAGATGATACATCCCCAGGAAAGTTTTAGTAGACCCTCCCAGAATTTTTGGCCTGGCTGAGTGGTGAAAGTCTTTTCCTTTACAAAACTAGTCTGTAAGGACTGGGAAATGTGGCTGTTTTTTCCAATATTTGAAACTCAGCAAATGATCACAAGGAAAACAAACAGGAAAACAGCGCAAAGGAACAATATAAATGTTCTGAAACTGACCCTAAAAAAACGCAGATGTATGAATTAAAAATATCTCTGAGGAAATAGGGAAGATGGCGGCCCTGTGAGAAGCAGCAGTGCCCCAACTCCCAGCCATGGACTTGATTTCCTCCTAAAATCCTATGTAACCAGCTTGAAAAAAACAGAGAAACATACCTGAGTGGACAAAATGTGAGTGGGGAGCACCGAACAGACACCACGGAGTCCGGTAAGAGAGGGGGGCCGTAGGAAGGGGGAGTCCCCCTGAAGCCTGTGCTGGGCTCCGAGCCTGGAGGCTTGGAGGCTGCAAAGCTCCTGCCCCTCGGGAGTGCCGACGGCAACCAAAAGCAGGGAACCCACACCCGGGGCGACGAGAGGGGAAGGAGTGCCCCGCGCACAGGGCAGAGGGGCCCAGGGGAGCGGTGAGTCCCGGAGGGCATGGCGCCTTCCTAGAAAACAAAGCCTCTAGGGGCGGCTGTGACCCGCGTCTGGTGGTCGGGGTGCTGACCATAGGGAAGGCTGTCCCAAGGCCTGTGGCACCCAAGTGGTGAGGGACCAGAGGACTGCACTGAGCACCCACACATGGCACCCTATGCCTCCCTGTGGGGCACTGTGTTGAGCCCCAGAAAGCGCTGAATTTGCGTAGCGTGGGGGAGGGGAAGAGCCCTCCTGCCCTGAGCTCCCGGTGCCAGGAGGCTGGGTTCTGCGACCAGCCCTGAGCGTGTCCTCCCACCCTGAACTCCCGGTGCTGAGAGGCTGGGATATTTGACCAGCCCTGAGGGGCCCCATGGTGGTGTATGAAGCCCCTCCAGCTTTGCTCAGACCAGCGGTGTGGAGAGCTGCGTGGAGCTGACTTTGGGTCCCCTCCTGCTGGGTGCCTTGGAACAAGGGTGGCGGGACCTTGCAGGGCGGACTCTCTGCCTGTGTGTTGCTTTGTGTGTTTGCGAGTTTGTGGAACTGGTTCCCACCTTCCCGGCGTGCACTGCATGGACAGAGGAGCGGAGGCTGCCGTTGGGGTCTGCTCATTAGACGGTCTGAGGGGCGGGCTTGGTGTGACCAGCCAACCAGAGCTGAGCAGGGAGGGGTGGAGCCCGCCAGCCTCTCCTGCAGCCAGGAGCGCACCCCCCAATAGGAAAGGGGCGGTTCCCGCTCACTGAAGCCCCAGACACACCCGCAGGGCACAGTCCTGAGGGGGAAGGGAGAGCAGCTCACAGGCGGACTTTGCAAGAATAAGACTCTCGGGCACTGTTGTTTGGGAACTGGAGGAAACGCTGAAAACCCCTGCTGGGGGCTGGGCAGGCAAAGGGCCCACCAGAATGTGTTCTTAATCGAACCCACTGAACCCAGGCTGCTGAAATGGCCCATACAGAAAAGGCAACAGGCTGAAATCAATCTGAAGCTGCAGCAGGACAGAGCCTGGGGAACTAGAATCAGAGGACAGGGTAGGGACTGAGGAGCTGGCAGTGGAGCAGAGA